TAGCAAAAAAGAACACTGAATTTTTATAAACTATGAAAAGGAAGACTTAATATGATGTACCTTTTCTGTTAAGGCTAACTAATGATAAACTAGCATACAGTGCTTAACACATTAAATGAAATACTATTCAAGTTTCTAAAACCTCATAAATCTTGAGACAGAGTACTAAGAATTAGGCTTTGCTTTCTATAATTTTGCCACATTAAAAATGGCTTTTTTTGAGCATATTGTTTTTCTCTAGCAATGAAAATGGTTTTTTTAAACTAGAAATATTTAAACTTAGAGTAATTTTAATTTTAAAGAATGGATGTTTATGAAAAATGCCTCCTGTTATTTGTAATACTTACGTCTGTGGAAGCTCGAAGCTGAATGCATATTCATGCCTTCCTGAATGAATAGTGTTGAAACCTTCCTCAGAATTATCATCATCTAAAACAAACAGAAAACAAACTTGTTTTTAAACCTTTACACACTCTTTATGGTAGTATAACTTTAAAGATGCTCATAATAATTAAGGCCACAAGCTTTGGAGTCAGAGAGATCTGAGTTCTAATTCCAACTTCATCATTTCTTCTGAGTAAAATAAAAATTCCTAGTCTTCACTTGCCTCATCTGTAAAATGGAGATAATTAATACTTATATTCCCATAGGTGGTTTTTAATGGAAAATGGCCCAGAACAGTAAGGCATCTGTATCTAATACAGTAATATGCTCAACTAAAGATTCAGATTTCCAATCTTATACTTAGGTGTTATTTTTGCCTCCAATGGTTTACTGAAATTTATTGTATTAAGACTACATATAAAAACTATTCATGTAAACCTTTAAAAATGTCAGTGTTCATACAGAAGATGTGAATGTTACAATTAAAAACGATTAGAAAACTTTCAAATAGATGTTGGGAGTTAAAAAAAGTAACAGTGATTTTAATGTCAGTTTCATAGCTAAAAATATCAATTCTTTATTGAATCTAAAACGATGACAATACTCTGTCCTAGCAACAGATAAAAATTTGCATATATATAAAAGTCTCAGATTTAAAAGGTGCCTGCTTACCAAGCAACGATGTCCCACATCCTTGAAAAATGTAGCCTAACCGGGTTGTTCCTAATTGCTTGAAGAAAGGGATGACCTTTCATTCTACAACTTATTTCTTTTGGTCAAATAGATTATTTTTATATATTTCCAAAATACATAACAAAAACTTGGGAAGGGATTCTAGATTTTTTAAATGATTTTTTTTAAACGTCTGACTATATGATTACATAAATGTCTTATATATGTAGCTTTCTCGATATAGAAACCTTTATCATTAACCAGGAAAGCAGAAGAAACTAATATTACCATTTAACTTCCCTTCACCAAGTACTGAATAGACTCAAAAACGTGATGTTTCCCTTTCATTAAAGGAGAAAAAAACGCCCGATAAAGATACTTTTATTCAAATACCACAATTATTCGCTTTTATCTCAGCACTATTTTCCTTGTCCCCTTTGCAAATCCTCTGAACGAATCTCAGCACCAAAAACTGGCTGGTGAGGTGGTGGCCATTTAAATTTGCTGCCCTCAAAAGAACCCAAAGTTTGCCTTCCTCTCTCTCCCTTTCTTCCCATCTCGCTCCCTTTTTGTGCCAGCTCAGCAGTCCTATTGAAGCGAGCGGTGGCGGCCGCGCCGTGGTAAACAAGTGCCGGGCTGTCAATCAAGAACTAGACCGGAGCAGGAGAGGACCGGCCTAAACCGGTGCGAGCAGATCCTAGCCGGCCCGCCCGCGCGCCGCCGCCGCCGCCTGCGCGCTCCGCTATACAT